AACTGCCAGGTCCCCCCAGCCACTGGCGGGGGGTGGGGGGCTAGGGTTGCAAGATTCAAGTTGGGGAACTCCTGGAGATTTGGGGATCAATCCTGGGGAGGACAGGGACCTCAGTGGGGTACAATGGCGAGAGTCCACCCTTCAAAGCAACCCTTTCCTCCAGAGGAACAAATCTCTATAGTCTGGAGATGAGTTATAATTCCAGGGGCTCCCCAGGTCCATCCTGGAGGTGGGTATCCCTATCTTAGATGGATACTACTTCTGCTTCCCTTCCATACTACCCTTTTTATAAAGAAAACCACAGAAGTTATGCAAACGTTTTCCAAAATGACCACTTTTTGTCTTTCCACAAAGCCGATTTACAAGCAGGAAATCAAGCCTGTCTGGTCAGGTCGAAGAGAGAGGCAAAGTCCAACAGAGATGAACCTCCAAAGTATAGGCTCATGATGCAGAAAGGTTTCCAGAGAACATTTGAGGGTAATTAAGGGCTAGTCAACGATCACCACCTGTCCCTAAAGCTTTATAGAGTGCCATGAATCTTTTAAAAATAATATTTAGCACTCGGCATTGCAAAAAAAAAAAAATTGCATAAGAAAAGTAGCTTGTAAGAATGCAAATATCACATTTTTATTTCTCCTCTCCCTCCCCCGGAAGCTGTATCATCCTTCCCTTCTCCATTTTATCTTTGCAACACAGTCTTGCAAAATTAGTTAGGGTGGTGTTGACAACCTCTACCGTGTTTCCTCGAAAATAAGACACTGTCTTATATTTATTTTTTCTCAAGAAGACACACTAGGGCTTATACCCCAAATGCATAGAAATCCTGCTAGGGCTTATTTTTGGGGTAGGTCTTATTTTCGAGGAAACAGGGTAGGTTAGGGCTGCCAAATCCCCCCGAGGGGCGGATTTCCCCCCGCTTTGGAGGCCCAATTTCCGCCGCCGCGGAATCGGGCCCCGGGGGAAACCATTTGTTTTCCCCTCAAATGGCTGTGGCCCCGCCCCCAGCATACCTGGCGTCATCACGTCACATCCGGCTGACGTGCATGCGGCGCACGCGTGCGCTCGGGATCGCCGTCCGGAAGCTCCCCGCCGCCAGGTAAGAAAGACTTGGCAACCCTAGGGTAGGTACCACCCGGAGACTTCCTGCTATTACAATTGGTCTCCAGACAACAAAGATCAGTTCCTCTGGGGGGAAAATGGCTACTCTAGAGAGCGGACTCTATCACAGGAGTGCCCAGTGTGATGCTTAGGGGTGTCATGGTGCCTGTTGACACCTTTTCTGGTGCCCTCCAACTGTTTTTAGGGAGTAGGTGGGACCAGGTAGGGTTTTTGCCCAGCAAGGCTTCTGATTGACTATTGGAAGAAGAGATGTAGAGGAAAAGTTGGTTTGTATACCCTGCTTTTCTCTAAGCAGTCTCAAAGCGGCTTACAATCGACTTCCCTTCCTCTCCTCACAACGGGCACCTTGTGAGCCAGGTGGAGCTGAAAGAATTCTAAGAGAACGGTGGCTGGCCCAAGGTCACCTCCTGTGGAGGAGTGGGGGAATCCAGCCTAGTTCTCCAGATAAGAGGCCACCGCTCTTAACCCCTACACCATGCTGGCAGCTGGCTATCAAGATTTCATGGATTTGATTGGCTATGTAGATTTTTTAAAATGTTGCTCTGGTAGCAACTGTCACCACAGCATGAGGATCTACACCATGTTACTGAAATTAAGCTGTGGCAATCATTTTGTGGCTGGCTCTGCTTCTTAGCCTTGCCAGCCTCCAGGTGGGGCCTGGGGATCTCCCGCTTTTACAACTGATCTCCAGCTGACAAGAGATCAGCTCCCCTAGAGAAAATCGCTGCTCTGAAAGGTGGACTCTACGGCACTGTACCATACTGAGGCCCCTTCCCTTCCCAAACACCACCCTCTCTTGGCTCCACCCCCAAAGTCTCCAGGTATTTTCCAACCCAGACCTGGCAACCCTACCGCTTCTTGTGGCAGCCATTTTGTTGCTGCACCCATCATGCCATGTCGGAATTCCCAGTTTGCCCACAGGCTCGAAAAGGTTGGGGACCCCCGCTCTATGGCATTATACCCCGCTGAGGGTCTTCCCCCTCCCTAAACCCCACCATCCCCAGGCTCCACCCCCAAAATATCAAGGCATTTCCTAAGCTGAAGCTGGCAACTCTAGGTTAGGCCCAGAGAGAGCAACTGACCCAAGTGTCATGGCCAAATGCAGATTTGAACCTTGGTCTCCACGATCCTCATCGGACAGTGACCCCTACACAATATGAGTTCTCAGACTAAGACAAAGACAACCAGACAGAGCCATATATTGGAATACGAACAGAGGAATACATTACCCTGCACTGATTTTGCACACCTAAAAATTTTTTAAGGCTATAAAATCTGTGACACAACAGCTCACCTTTTTAAAAAAATCAGAACATGTTTAGCATTGGGAAATTTCTAAATGAAACCTGAAGCTGGCAACCCTGTGGACCCACCTCACCCAATGGTAGTACTCCAAGCTCCACCCACCCAATTATCTGCTCAGGGCAGGTTTTTCAAGACCACCATCACCCTTATCCAGTACAATTGCCAACTGAGCTGGGAAATTCCTGGAGATTTGGGGGGGGGGGAATCTGAGGAAGGCAGACGTTGGAGAGGGGAGGGGCCTCAGCCAGGTATAATGTCGTAGAGCAGGGGTCCCCAACCTTCTTGAGCCTGTGGACACAGCTGGAATTCTGACATAGCCTGGTGGGCACAGCCACAAAATGGTGCTGCGCTGCAGGAGGTTCCCTTCAGAGCCACACAGTGAAGATCCTTGTGCTGTGGTGGCAGC